TCTTCATCTTCATCTTCTTCTCCTATTAGTAAAGTAAGATGATGTAATAATGATCCGATTTTTTCCCCTGAAGGAGACACATTAAGTGAAAGTAAGTATATGTGCGTGTGTATGTTCAATCTGAAAAGTATTAAATAATTTGTCTATAAAAATGATTATTATATGTATAGAATCGACGAGACAAAAGCGATTCGGGCCATGTCAATATTCGTGATGATGATGAAGGACATTTGATTTACGTTCCAGGTAGACTATATAAAGAGATTATATTTTTATTTAAACGAAATTTAATTGTTTTTTATTTTAGGTGATATTTTACATCATCAATGTAAGTTTTATTTATAATATATTTATAATTGATAGAAGAGAGAGAAAAAGAATTTTCTATAGTTAATTATTTAATGTATACACTTAAGCCATATATTCACACATTTCATATATATATATATTAGGCTTTGTCTCCTTTAATCTTTGAGATTAGTTATTTTCTTTCAACATATATCAACTAAAAAGCTAAATTAACACACTTTGATTAATAAAATCGAAATTATTTTTGTAAGTTGACCGGTTTATTCTATTCTTTCATCATCTATGTAATACAATTCTTTGAGTTTTTTCAATACTCGAGATAATTCATCTGACATGATTATTATCATTTTCGTATTTACATTGCATGTATTGATATCTCTATCTATTCCGACATATATAAATATTAAAAAAAGTCATTATAGTTCGTTGATTTATAACCTAGTAAAAGTCAATCGTGTTCATATCGCGATTAGTTAATAAGAAGTGCTCACTGTCGGACAGATTGTTTTGAATGATAATATCTAGAAATCATACATTACTGTTAAAATATAAACGTGACCTTTTTTCGTCGTCAATGAAAATTTTAAACAAAACTATTATTATATCTCAATTATCATGAGAATATATGATTAAAATCTAAATCGATATACATATTCAATTAGATGAAATTCGTCGAACACTTGGCGAAGGCACATTTGGTAAAGTCGTTGAAGTTCGTGATCTTCGCGGGTAAATATAATAATAAAAGAAATGTTTTTTCTTTACTTTTTAATTGTTTCTATTATATATTTTAGTGATGGTAGTACACGGTTAGCATTAAAAATAATCAAAAATGTTGAAAAATATCGTGAAGCGGCCCGGTTAGAAATTAATGTACTTAAAACAATCAATGAAAAAGATCCCGATGGTGTTAAGTAAGATAATTAAGAGAAAATAAATTAAAAATAATATTTTTTTTTCTTTATTTTAGTTTATGTGTTGCATTACTTGATTCATTTGATTATTATGGTCATATTTGTATTGCTTTTGATATGTTAGGTTTAAGTGTATTTGATTTTTTAAAAGAAAATAATTATATTCCATATCCTATTGATCAAGTTCGTCATGTTTCATATCAATTATGTCTTGCTGTTAAATGTAAATATTAAAATTTCTTCTCTTATGTATATATATATATGTTTGTGTTTGATTTCAATAGTTCTTCATGAAATTGCTTTGACACATACAGATTTAAAAGTAAGAGAGAGAGAGAGAGAAAACAAAGAAATATTTACTTTAAAAATTGTATTTATTTTAGCCTGAAAATATTCTTTTTGTTAATTCCGATTATAATATTGTTTATAATCATCGAAAAGTAAGTTTAAGATGAAAATGAAATGAAATATAAAATAAATTTATTTCTTTTTCTAGCGAAGAGATGAACGTGTTGTTCGTCGAACAGATATTAAAGTAATTGATTTTGGTTCAGCAACATTTGATTGGGAACATCATTCAACTATTGTTTCGACTCGACATTATCGTGCGCCAGAAGTTATACTTGAATTAGGATGGTCTCAACCATGTGATGTATGGAGTGTTGGATGTATTCTATTTGAACTTTATCTTGGTTTTACTCTCTTTCAAGTATGTTATCAATTTTTGCTTTCTCTTATTTTATTTTTGACTATTATTTAATAGACGCATGATAATAAAGAACATTTAGCCATGATGGAACGAATACTTGGTTCGATTCCTTATCGAATGGCAAAACAATCAAAGTAAATAAATAAAAAATTTTGATTAGAAAATATTTTAATCTTTTTTTTTTGTTTTGTTTAGAAAAACGAAATATTTCTATCATGGTCGACTAGATTGGGATGAACGTAGTTCAGCTGGTCGTTATGTACGTGAAAATTGTAAACCTTTACGAGTAAGTTTCTCTTTTATTTTGAATTTCAATAATTATGTATATATTCTTTTTAGCGATATATGGTGAGTGATGAACCAGATCACCAACAATTATTTGAATTAATTGAAAAAATGCTTGAATATGACCCAAAACGACGAATAACATTAGTTGATGCTCTTCGACATCCATTTTTTGAACGTCTTTTACCAGAACAGCGTATTAGCGATCTACCTTCAGTCGCAAATACATCTTCCAAATCTTGATAGTGTCTATCTTGTGTGATATATATATATATATTTAACATATAACCTTATATATATACATACATATATATATGAGAAAAAAACCCAGAGAAGAGAAGTATAATCGAATTTTGTTGTCGTTTTTTTTTCTCTTGTGCATGTTCTCTTTTTTTTTTTGTTGTATTACTTCTTCTATTGTACTGCTATGATGATGGATTAAAAAAAAGACATAAAATACAGACGGAACAATTGTTTCTTTTTTTTTTGCTTGTTATCTTTTTCATGTAATTCTCTATTTCTCTTTTTTTTCCACTGTATCCATCTGGCTAAGTAAAGTTAGCTAAGGAGGATGAGTAAAACAAACAAAAAAGAATATCTCTACTATATTCATATATGTATATATACACATGATTTTTTACAGATCACAGAAATAAGTATGGTTCGAATTGCTATATTGGGATGTGGGACAATGGGTTTAAAAATTGCAGGTTTATTTTATTTTTTGTTCATTGTTTCTCTTAAAATTAATTATCATCTTTCTTAGGCAATTTTGCCTATTATGGTCATATAATAAAGATTTTTGATAGTGATTTAAAACAACTGGATAGTGCATGTGACCGTATACATCATGATGAAGATCAATTATATCGTGATGGTCTTATAGAAATGCCGAAATTTTTAGTGAGTTTTATATAAAGATAATTTACATTGAATTTATTTTCTGTAATTTCTTCAGGGTCAAATCTTATGTTTAAATCGACTTGAAGATGCTGTTAAAGATGTTGAGTTTATATTTGAATGTATTATTGAAAATATCGAACTTAAACAAGCTTTAATTGAAAGTAAGAATATAATAAAACTAGGTTAAAAAAAGAATTTTTTACAGTTTACCTGTATACTGACATACTTATTAAGTAAAAATAACTATGCTATTTCTTTCTTTCTTTCTCGAAAGAAACGAAAACACAAGAAGAATGATAAATACTTTCATAGGCAAAGTCTACTGTGTAGTAGGTAAAAAAAATTCGTTGAGAATGTCGTCATCATGAAATTTATCTTACATTTTTTAAAAAGAAAATTAGGTCAAAACGAATATGTTCTACTTTTTTTTTCTTACTTCCGTTAGAATCTTGATTTGAAAAATAAACTATTAATTTAGAGGCTGCTCAATTTGCTCCAGCTGGTGTTATCATATGTTCAAATACAATGAGGTTAGATTTAGACAAAATATCAGAAAATCTATCTCATAAAGAAGTAAGTCAATTAATAAAGTTAATTCGAAATTAAAATATTTTCTTCATTTAGAATTTCGTTGGTGCACGTTTTCTTTTTCCAGTTTATTATGTGCCTGAAGTTGAACTTAATCCATCAAACTCAACTAGTACACAAACAATTGGTGCCTGTAATATATTTCTTAATTAAAAATTCTTTTTTTTCTTATCTCATGTAATTTCTTATTTAAAGTAAGAAAATTACTTGAAGAAATGGATAAAGTTCTTTATTTTCGTTCATCATCTGATCCATTAATACTCGATGAAGAACAACGAGAAGTTCGACGAAAAGGTAATCGTTGGTTTTTTCCAAAATATAAAATTTCAATTATTCTTATTTTTAGCTCGTGTTGAATCATTGAAAAAAAGTAGTGGTATAATGGTTGTCCGTGGTCGAACATTACCTGAATTAACATCATCGAATAGAATTAGTCATGGTGGAGCTCGCAGTGATTTAAGTAAATTATTTATATTATTATTCTTTTGTGTCATAAAATATTTTCTTGTAAATTTAGTTGATCATGGAAATAATGCAAGTAATAATTCATTATCAAATGAGAATGTTGATTGTTCAATTTGTATGGATCGTCCACGAAATTCTGTTATTCGTTCATGCAATCATTTTGTAACATGTTATGAATGTGCACGTTTATTATATAATAGAAAAGATCCATGTCCTGTTTGTCGTAAACGTATCGACGATGTTATTCGTGTTTATACGTAGAGAGAGTGATTTATTGTTGCTCATTTTTTTTGTATTGTCTCGTGTGTGCGTCAGATTATCTCGGTGATATATGTATGAATACTCAATATTGTTCTAAAGTTTTTTTTTTTCCATTTTATCATATATATTTTAAAAATATGCTTATTTTAATATTTTACGAATAAATAAATATATATATATACTTTCAGAAAAAATTGTATTTTTATGATGAAAATCATCATTGAGGTGAGAGATGATGCTTTGATTTTGTCTGTGTTAGAATGTAGAGCATTGAAACTATGTTAAAAATTGTAAATTTTTTGAAAGTCGGACGATATTTTAAAATTGAAGTTTCGAATCTGACCTAATTCTATGTAAAATCTAGAGCATTTTGATGTCGTATTCATCTATATCCCTACATTTTGTTTCTTATCTATATGTGTGGTCTTTCAACCCGATGAAAAAAAGTAAATAGATCTCAATACTATATAAAGAGATGCTTTCACATATCTTTTCATACTCTTCATAATTCATTAACAAAATGACAATTCAAACTATAAATATACATTTTAGTATGTAGTCTTTACTTTGTAAATATATATATAGGAATATTTTATTTATAGACTTTCACGGATTATTATCATCCGTTCAATTATTATTGACTTTATTGACAACTGTCAATCATGTCTTCGAATCTATTCTATTTCATATGGTTAGTTTATTAATTATTTGTTCATATAAAATTAATAATCTTAATTAATAGGTTTTATGGTACGATTTATATATGTATACACCACTTCAAAATTATCTTTCACCATATATCGCTTGTATTCCACGTATCATTCGAATTGGTGATAAAAGTATAACGATATTTAATGCTAATATTGTTACATACTCACGAACACTTCTTATAATTCCAATTGCTTGGTGTCTTAAGTAAGTGTATTATTAAATATGGCGTCTTTGCTAGAAATGAATTAATTCAAATTTTAGATATGATTATCCAATCCTGGCTTGTTTATTAGTTCTTTTTCATGATTTTCTTGATCATGTTGATGGTATTGTTGCTAAAGTACATAAACGTATTTATGGTGACAATATTGATGATCCTTTATTGGGTGGTTTTATGGATGCATTTTGTGATAAAATTGTTAATATTGTTTGTCTTTGGACAATTTTACAAGAAACACATTTTCAACAAACATCTTATTTTCTTTCAATTGCTTTTGTTTTACTTTGTTATACAATTATTAGTCTTGAAACAGCTATTGGTGTTGTTCGTATACAAGATTATTTTCATGCTGCTCTTCTTGGAAAAACGTATGTTAAAATACTCGATAGATTAAATAAATCTATAAAAAAAATTATTTTTAGAACATCATCTAAAAGTGCAACATCAGCTGTTATGGAAGGAAAATTAAAGGAAAAACTTGAATCAATGGGTTTAGCATTTTTATGTTTATCAACTGGTTATCTTTCACCATTTGATCACTGGTGTAAGTTGAATAAATTTAAATTCTTATTCAATTATTTAATTTAAAATATTTTTTTAGCTGGTATAATCGGTATTATTTGTTTTTCATTGACTATTCGATTGGCTTGTGTATCATTAACGAAAAAATTAGAAGCACGAAAAATGATCAAAGAAGAAAAGAAAACTGTCACATTTGATGCATCATCATCATCAGAAACAATATCACCTGTTCAAAAAACAATTGCAGTTGTTAATGCTTTTCATTCATCAACTGATACAAAACAACGTAATCGTGCAATGACACTTGATTCTTCAATGCGAAAAGTAATTTATAATAATATTTTTTTTTCTAATTAAATAATTTTCTTTTTAATATAGAATGAACAAGAAAAACAGAAAAATATTCCATCAAGTCTTACATCATCACCTGCAAGTAGTACTTCAAGTATTACAAATAACTCTGAAGATGAAACGAAAGAACGTTGTGGATCGACATCTTCATCTGAAGGTCAAAATGAATGTTCACATACATATCAACGTAGTGCATCATTACCTGCAATATGGATTGATGGACGTGCTGATAAAGTTTATACTGTTGGTTGTTTTGATTTATTTCATGAAGGTCATCGACTTCTTCTTCAACGTATGCGACAATTTGGCCGTGAAGTTATTGTTGGTGTACATGATAGTCGAAGTATTCATAAATTAAAAAATCGTGTACCTGTTGATGGAACAGAAACACGTATGCTTAATGTGAAACGTTATGCTGATGAAGTCTATTGCGTCTCTGGTACAGATCCATCAAATTTTGTAAAATGTATTGTACATTTACGTGAAAATGAAACGGCAATTTATGTACGTGGTGATGATATGGGTGATTTTCCATCTCGACATGTTGTTGAAGAATTAATGCCAGTTAAATTTTTACCGTATACAAATGGTGTATCAAGCACGAAATTACGACAAGAATTATTTTCACATATTCAAGCTAATGATATGGAACATTTAGACAGAGTTAACTAAAAACAATTCATATTTTATTTTTATTATGAATCTCAGTTTTATGAGACATATATTGTTTTATTTTATGATGTATATTATTTGTGTATATTTTTGACTTTAAAAATAAAATAGAGTTTAACCTATTTTTATTTTTTCTTCTTTAAAAAGAAGCATAAAGAGATAGTTATCAGAAGAGAAAAAAAGCATTAGTTTGGTCTCAACGATGTAATATTATCTTATTAAAAATACATTTGAAAAAATTTTATGTGATTTATGTAAAATAATCTTTTGTTTTTGACTGATATGAATAATATTTTTAGTAGAATGAATAAAGAACAACTTTTTTTCTTGCATGAAAATCTGATACTTATTCAGCTTTTTCTGTTCTGATTTTATATAATTGTTTTAGATGATACGCTTTTTACTCTAATATAAAAGTAAGTCAAAATAAATTTCAGTATTAGAAGAAGAAAAGCAAATAGTACTAATCATAAACTTTTTAATAATTTTTTGATTTGGATTTAATTAAATACAAAATACCTATTTTTTTATTTATTAATCCGATGCGAAG